GCGGCTTTAGAGGCAGGGCCGAATGGCACAGAAAAAAAAACTGCTAGATGATCTTAGAGATAGTTTTCGGATTATATTTTCAAGACTCTTAAAACTGGGTGGGGGAGCCTTAGTTAACAGTCTACTTTCAATAAGAAGGTTAATAAAACCAAATACTTCTTTATAATTTCTTCCTGTGTACTATAAGCCATCGAGTGCCCGATGGATTATGGCAGAAACCGACCAGAAACAAAAAGCCAACTCAAATCCCTGACGCTTTGAAATTGGTTTCTTTTTAGTTGTTCTGCAATCGCCAGCTGGCTAAATGTCAAAGGCAATTGTCTTGGGTGGATCCGCGAGAGGCTGTTGGCTTTTGGGCGGGTTCTGTGAGTCCGAATTTAATTGCAATCAGCACAGCTCGACTAAGCCGAGCCGACTTCGCAGCAGAAAATGGGAATAAAAATGAAAAGCCATGGCAGTGTGAAATGTTAAAGTTGAAGGCGGGATTGAAACGGGTGTGTCGCTCCGACAAACAGAATACACAAAAGAAATTAAGCAGGGAGCCCAGTATGCATCTAAAGTCGATCTATCAAGGGGCTATGTGCGTGCAGAATGCAAAATGCAAATGAGGACCAAGGCAGAAGGCATTGCGTATACTGGAGACTTCAGACGGCAACACCAATTCAATTAAGTTGTTCGGGAAATTGGCCACATCTACGTGTTGGATTTTCCTCTCTCCAGCAGCACTAAGAAAAATTGTGCAATTTGGGGCAAAAGAAAAGAAATCTTCAAGGTTTTAGCTTTCTCTCAGTGTAGGATTTCTGGGCTTTGCAATGCAAATAAATCATCGTGTCGATGCATTTTGAGCTTGACTCTGGCATGGAAAGAGGTACGTGATACTCGCGCACCTTCGTGTCTGCCGGCCAGGCCAATTACATATTTGTCTTGGGCTTTGGGCCCAACTTCGGTCTGGCTTGCTGACTTTCTGGCCCGGCCTGGCCTGGCCCTGTTCGTGAGCAAGTGCTCCAGTTTCCTGTTTCCTATGTCGATCTGGTTCTAGTTGTGTGCCGGCTGTGGACCTCCTTCACGTGGCATTAACGTGCTATAATGCCGCAATTCATCATTATTTTCTCGTTGTCTATGTTTTTATTTTACTTTTTTTGTTTTCCCCCTAATGAAAGGGTCCCGGTCGGTGCTTTCCCTCAGCTTCTTTTGATATATTGGCAAGTCAAGTAGTAAAAACATCGAATACAACAAAATGCTAACTACCAACCGGCAGTTATGTTGCTTAGCGGTTCTTCGTTCTAATCTCTATTTCTGATTCTGATTCCCATTGTATTCTCATTGAACGCCCACCGAGAGGCGTGGCTGGGCCCCCAATTAAGCGTTAACTGATTACAATTTTAACGGCGTCCAAGGCCCGCCGGCCAAGATTGCAGTTCCAGAGGTTTCAGCTCATTAGGCCGGGCTTAAAGCCATAGGGGAAATTACAGCAATTGTCCGATGCAAATGCCAAAGCCGAGACATTGGTATTTCGGCGATAAGCGGTCAGTAAATCCGCCGAAAAGGAGCTACAAATTTGCAAACCACAAATTTAGATCAATAAAGAACACGCAGAGTTCGGGCCCAGCCCAAAAAAGGAGCCCCAAACAATGGAAACAGACTTCTTGTTTGAGCCAAGATAGCATTACACTTTTGTGCAAATAACAGGAAAGAAAAAGGCAAAGGTTTTTCTTTAAAAGTGGGGGCTTGTACACTTTCCTCAAAATATTTTAAGAAACCCCCGAATACCCTTTAGGTTCTATTCCCGAGTGCTCAGTGTAGCACTACCTTAACCAATTATGGCGCCTATCGTACCAACTGGAAGATAAAGGAGTTGCCAGGAAGGCGAGTCTGGTCTGGTCCTCTGACATTCAAAATGATTGCATCACGAAGTACAAATTTAAACAGCGATTACACCGCCTCCGCCCCCACATTCTTACCACTGATGTTGCTGTCCATTCTGGAGGAGTACGGGAAGTCGCCGATCTGCGATGAGATCTGCGAGGTATCTGCGAGGGGCTGGGTAGGTGGGTTGGCAATTTCTATAAATGCTGCTAAATGCATGAGCTGTGCAGAAATAGAAGGGAAAAGCCATGCCAAGAATGCCGCCTATGATTAAGCTGAAGGAAAATTATAAGTTTCCTCTATGTTGTCGCTTTAATTGAAGTAGCGCCGGATGCGAAGAATCGCAGTTTTTCCAGAAATACATAAACTTACTCTTCTCATACTCCAGCATCGGGATGCGTAAATGTTGTGATGACCGCGACCGCAGCTGCGGCTCTATGATTCATCCACCATAATTATATGCAAATCGGGCTAATCGAACGTATAACGTGCAATTTAATGCCATTTTGTCGACGGCAAGCTTTCCTCATTTGCCACCTTCGAGCCATCTTGCAGTCAACACGCAAATTAACGAATTGCAGCCAAAGAGGTTGGTGGTGCAGCAGGTGGCAGGTTGTGGTTACACCAGCAACATGTTGTTGCTAATTGTGGCAATGCTGCGGTGACAACTAGCTATATCTCTTTGCGGTTTCTGTCGCCCACTTTGGTTAAAAAGCCATAAAGATTGATCTTGGTTCCGGTGACATATCATTTCGTATTTAAATCCATTTGAGTAATTCTAATTAATTCAATCATTTTTATACCCTTGAAGGGGGTATTATAATTTTTGATGCAGAATGATGGCGAATCGAACCCGAAATCGTTTAGGGTACTCCGCTTGAGAATCGGATGAGAATTGGGGAAGATATAGCCATCAGTGTGGACCCTATAGGGGAAAACCGCATTTTCAAGGGATCCCATCAGAAAAGTGGACAAAAAATTGAAAAAATATTTTGTCTCAGGATTTTGATGCAGAATGGTGGCGAATCGATCCAGAAATCGTTTAAGGTACTCCGCTTGAGAATCGGATGAGAATTGGGGAAGATATAGCCATCACTGTGGACCCTATACGGGAAAACCGCATTTTCAAGGGATCCCATCAGAAAAATGGACAAAAAATTGAACAAAATATTTTGTCTCAGGATTTTGATGCAGAATGGTGGCGAATCGATCCAGAAATCGTTTAAGGTACTCCGCTTGAGAATCGGATGAGAATTGGGGAAGATATAGCCATCAGTGTGGACACCATAGGGGAAAACCGCATTTTCAAGGGATCCCTTCAGAAAAATGGATACAAAATTGAAAAAATATTTTGTCTCAGGATCCTGAAATCGTGTAGAAAATGTATATCCGGTTTTATCTTCTAGGGTATATCAGCTTTGGCTCCGCCCGAAGTTATCTTTCCTTTCTTGTTTTCAAATCAACTCAGCGATACTTAGCTAAAACATTTTTTGTGTTTCAATTATAATCGCCAGCCACGCTTTTATTTATTTTGCTTGTTATTCTTAAACAGATTTCCATAATTAATTTTACTACTCGATGTGCTAAGTCGTTTATTGTGACAGCTTGAAGTGGTTCTCAAACTACATATTGAGGGGAAATGCCCATTAATGCAGCTGGCTGGCCGCCCGGCCATATAACTATCAATACCATTCATACGGATAGATCAAATCAGACCCGTAGTCGTAAGTACGAGGCTGGCCTTTGTTTGATCGAGGAAAACACTCGACGACATATCAGCCAGGGCAAACACCAGCGGAGAGTTGAATGGAATGAACCTAAACGAACCCACCTGGTGCACCACAATTAACACGACTGCACCACCAGTACCCCCACCGCCTTAGAAAATCCACTTCACTTACACTCAGTTACACGGAATATTATTTTTATGAGTAAGGAAATGAATATTATAACTTTTAGAGCTTAGAATACTCTGCATCTTATATTAAAAATTAAATAATAAAATGTGGAAGATTAGATTAGAATCTAAATTCTACAAAAATAAATATTTCAAAATACTTAAGACTCAAATTCTTCGCACAAGTATCTGTCGTAAAAGTTTAAAATATTTTTAAATGAAAAAAATACACCTTTTAAAAAGAACACTTTTGTAAACCAGTGCTATCGATTGCCTTATATGCCTGCCGCAGTGCCTCGTATTCATATCAGTGATGCACTCGGAGTGTGCCCCAATTTTGGATTGCAGAACCAGCAACGAGGCAGGGACGGAGGTAGTGGGGAGCGGGGTGGCGCAACGGTGGTGGGGCGTGGCATTTCACTCTAATTGGAGTAAATTATGTTTACCCATTCGGCCGCCTGCAATTGGGTCACCCCGGTGGAGGTAGAAGTGGAGCGGTATCGGAGCGGGAAAAGTGCTGATATGGAATACATTTCGTGTTTGCCTTTACATAATTTAGAATGCATGGAAACTTTGGAAAATCTGGTAGTTGGAGAGCGTGTGGGGTCTTATCTGGGGATTCGTTCCCTCACTGGGGAATACTTATGGTAATTAGTTCTCGCGGTCATATTTATGGGCCGGGTTTACAAAACTGAAAATGTTATCTAATGGCCCGGAGGCTCCTAGGCAGCATAAAATGTCAGCAGGAAATGAAGGAGTTATGTATGAGCCGATGCCAGATGTGAGATAGAGCTTCCATAAACGTAACGCTCAACAGGTTTCCACACGATTACAGATTCTTTCACCGAATCTCTGGCGGTGAGTCATTGCAATGAAAAGTGCAATGCGATTGTGGCCCGTTCCGGGAGAACACATAGAAGGGGAGTCATTGCAATGAAAAGTGCAATGCGATTGTGGCCCGATCCGGGAGAACACATAGAAGGGGCTCTGAAAAACCAGCCACCCGCAGCCCCGGGTTCGAGTGTTTTTCTTTGTGTAATTGGAATCGCATTGCGGGTTTTCCCCACTCGGGGGCCATGAGAGCCTTCGGGAGAGCTAAGGCTGAAGCTCGATCCGCGACTGGTTCTCAAGAGCATAGTCGAGTCGTGTTCTGGACCGGTTCCCTCTTTTGCCCCGGCTCTGTCTCTGTCCCGCCAGCTATAATCTGGCCCGCTCTGATGAGCGGAATCGGATTTAAAATGATCAGTTTTGCAGCACAGTTGAAAACGAGCTGATCACCGGACCGGACGAACAGATCGATTTAAATTCTATTCAAGAAAGGAGCTATAAATAAATTAAAAATGGCGAGCAAATGCAGTAAGCACTGAAATAAGCTTATATTGAATCTGGGTAACCCTTAATGCGTTTCATTTCACACTTTCAAGTGATCCTGCTTCTGCTTCTGGTTCCTCTTTTGCATGCCCAGAGATTCCCCACCTTTGGCCTTGCACCCCGCTTCGGAGCAGAGCAGGTTGTGCCACAGAGCGGTGGCTATCCCTCACAGCAAAACTTACAAACGCAATTAGATGAGGATGTCCAGGTGCCGATATCTCCAACACGGCGCCAGTCTGGGCAACCCCGCAACCCCGCAACCACCCGGCCCCCGGTGACCTCGAAGTTCAGCTTCATGGATCGCTTCAGCTCCAAACTCTACGAGAAGATTGCACCCTCGAAATCCGGGGCTAATTTTGTCTACTCTCCCGTGTCGGTGCACAGCATCCTGGCACTCATCTATGGGGCGTCGATCGGCAGGACCGCCAGTGAACTGAAGCAGGCCGGGGTTTTCGAGAATAATAAAATAAATGTGGCCTTGAGCTTCCAGAAGCTGATCATGGACAGAAGCGACTTGGGTAACGCCGAGCTGAAAATAGCCACCAAGCTGTACCACAACCAACTGAAGGGCGGCATCAATCCCAGCTTCCCACCCTACTCCCAATCCTATTTTAATACCGCGGACGAACCCGTCGATATGGCCAACCCCAAGGACACATCCAAAAGGATTAACGCCTGGGTGTCGGACAGCACCAACGGCAAGATTCAAAACCTGGCCGCAGCCAGTGACATTACCGAGCAGACCGAGGCCCTCATGGTGAATGCCATTTACTTCAAGGGTCGTTGGGAGAACGAGTTCGCCACCATGGACACCCAGCCCACCAATTTCGTACACTCCGACGGCAGCTCCTCCAGGGTGGCCATGATGTACAACGACGACGTCTATTCCCTGGCCGATCTGCCGGAACTGGGAGCCAGCGCCCTGGGGCTGAACTATCGGGACAGCAACATCAGCATGCTTATCCTGCTGCCGAAGCAGGTCAACGGCCTCCGAGCCCTTGAGGCGCAACTGGCCCGGCCGGAGTTCGACTTGAATTACATTGCCGCCCGCCTGCAGCGCCGGAATGTGCTGGTGCGCCTGCCGAAGTTCCGCATCGAATTCGACCAGGACATGACTGTGCCGCTGAAGGAGATGGGCGTTCAGGCGATGTTCGGTCCCAACTCCCAGATAAACACGATGCTCAACAACATAGTCCGAGTGGAGAAGATCCTGCAAAAGGCCTACATAGACGTTAACGAGGCTGGCACTGAGGCGACAGCAGCTTCATGTAAGTTCCCCTAATCTCCTCCAGAAACTATGATACTAACAGACTCCCAACCTTCCCATAGATGCCAAGTTTGTGCCGCTGTCACTGCCCGCCAAGTCCCCGGAGTTCACCGCTGATCACCCGTTCGTCTTCGCCGTGCGCACCCCCAGCTCCGTGCTCTTCATTGGCCACGTGGAGCACCCCACGCCCCTGGCAGCAAGCCCGGGCGAGGCTGGCTCCGGGCGCTAGAGACTCTCCTCCAACCGGGAATAGTTTGCAGCATTTGTGAAACAAACAATAAAGTTAAAAGCCTCGTATTTATTGCAAACTGCAAGTCGATAACCTCGTGCCCGCCGATAAGATAGATCAACCTCGGACCTAAATTCCGAGCTCCGTGCTCCGTGCTTTTCCCCAGGCGTGCAAACGTACGTCTGTCGGCAATTCTGGATTCCCATAGAATGGTTTTTGCCCGCATCTGTAAGTTGGCAAACCCGTTTTGGAGCCCCTCCGCCGGCACGGAACTCGCCACCCCAGCTACTGCAGTAAATCAATGGCGGGTTTCTCAATCATTTTTCAAAAACACAAGCGAAACTTCCTCATGCGCACTTGCGGCAAATAGCGATTTTAAATAGAGAATTCATCCAAAGATCAATTGGGCGGGAGGGGGCCAGGATGGGGCACTGTGAGACTACGAAATGAGTAATTGAAATACCCGCTGAAAGGTGCCCATAATTAATAGATTCAACTCAAGGTTGCCTACACACGGCGGATCGATATGGATATATTATTTAGTCAAATAATATGAGCCGACTTTTGTCTAAGAAATATAATCTTTGTATTTAGCTGTGACTTTCAAAGAATATATTATGTCATAAATTATATTAAAAAATTCTAGAAAACAATAAAAAATAAATGATTTTTAAACCAAATATTTAATGAATCTCTTATCAATTTCTTGTGCTAATGAAGAAATACTCATGTATATAATAAGATTTCTCCCAGTGCCGTAAAATTAATGACATGCATGCCCCTTGAGAGAATCGGAACTGGAACACATTTGCGAGAGTTCTCTAGCCGTCTCCGACTCACTGGCTGCTCCAATTCTCCGAAGAATGTTTAGCGCCGAGCTTTGGCATTGACCCGCCCCAATCAACAACCTCAATGTTTCAATATACTTTGAAATTCCGTGAATGGGTGCGTAGGGGACTTTAGTTGTGTGTAAGCCGTTGTGGCACTAACTACATTATTAGTCAAAGCTTGGTATTCCCCGAAACGTGAAATGAACCGCCCCCACTGGAGACTGATTCTCGGACTGCTGATGGCTTTCTCTGCCGTGCTACCGCTTTCAGTTGGGGCCGAGCTCCCGGCCAGAGCGGCTGCCAGCGCCTCGAACTACCGCTTTGGGCTGCGCCTCTCCAGGAAGCTGGGGGAGCTCCAGCCGAATGCGAATGTGGCCGTCTCGCCCCTGCTTGTCCAGGCGGCTCTCAGTTTGCTCTATGCGGGAGCTAACCCAGACTCCGCCAGGGGACTCGGACAGGCGCTGGACCTCCAGCACACCTTTTCCCCCAAGGGATCTATTAACGACATAGAAACCCTTCAGTCTGATCTTAAACACTCCGCTGCCGTCGGATGCCGTCTGAGGTTGCTGAGCGACTTCTACACCCAGCAGCGTTTCACCTTCACCTTTCGGGATGAGTTCGAGGCCCTGGCCTCCCATCTCGGTATCGGAAGCCACCGACTTGGCTGGGACAACTCCGCAAAAGCGGCCCAGGACATTAACTACGACTTTCTGAGTCGCAGCAACTTTAGCCTAGGCGAGATGGTGACCTCTTCCCAGCTGGAGTCACTCGGCGCAGATTATACTCCTTTCCTACACGTCTCGGCAGTGACTTTTAGTGCCCCATGGGCACAGGGATTCGATCCTGCAGAGACGCAGGACATCAACTTCTTTGTGGCAGGATCGCGTCCCAAACTGGTGCCCGCCATGTTCGGCCAGCATCGCTACAGATACGCCGAGGTGTCAGCCCTCGATGCCCAGCTGATCGAAGTTCCCTTTTCTACTGCGGATCTTTCCCTGCTCATAATCTATCCAAACCAAGTGGATGGCCTGCTCAAGTTGGAGCGGGAGTTGGAAAAGTACGACTTGCAGCAACTCCGGGCTCAGTTGGAAGAACGTAAGGTGGCCCTAACGCTGCCCAAGTTCAGGACTCTGGTCCATTCTGATCTGACTCCAGCGCTGAAGCAGGTAATCTTTATAATATCCAGCTTTCAGAAATGAAAGTTCCAATCTTTCATTTGTTGAAACCTGATACTAATTAGGAAAAAAAATGGTCTTTGTAGCTGGGCCTAGCTAAGCTCTTCACAACGGAGGTCCAATTGGAGGAGGTCTTCAGCTTCATTTTGGCCAGCTCAGCGCCCCCGTTGGGAGCCGTGGTGCAGAGCAGTTTGTTGGAGATCCAGGAGAAAGGCGGCTCTGCCGGCGACTCTTTTTGTAAGAACTCTTTTTGAAAACAGTATCCATGAATTCCTTATAACATGCCGTTCTTGTAGCCTTTGGGGATCTGTTCCGACGAGCCCTGCCCCTGGTCATCAATCACCCGTTCTTCTACGCCATCGGCAATGACAAGGTTTTGCTGCTCACTGGCCATATAGTCGACGTCTGAGCATAGCTCAGGGTTATTTAATCCCAATGTCTAGCTCTAACTGAGGTTATCGCGTTATCAGTCCAGCTCGATCGCTAAACAAATAAACAAAATCACCCATGGAAAGCCAAAGGTGACAAATGATTTGTAAACACACTAGATTTTCTCTCTCTGGTTTTTTGGGGTCCGAGAGTTACGTTATTATATCAACCCAGCTGAGTGAATAAATCCGACTGGAGGCAGCCTCCAAATCCGCTCGACGATCGCTGCCAGTTCAGTCGACGTTCCGACGAGCTCAGAGAAGTCTCAAGTGCGAATCAAGCGGAGCAGGAGACGCCCATCAACAATTTATTTGACGACCATGGCTGTCATCATCAGCTGCCTATTACGTAAGTCCCAATTAAAAAATCTGGTCTATGCACGGAGAGAAATGGTTACTGAAATAGGCAGGGATCTAACTGGCATTCATGGTGTTGCGTCGTCACTGATTGAAGAAGATGACCCCTTTTTTTAAGTGCTTATCGTAATTGCATCGTAGCCGTAGACAAAGAAAGTTTCCAACAATAAAGATCACATTCACATTAAACTCATATTCGTGAATATATAATCTATACCGTTTTGTATTGCCCATAATTGAGAGAAGTGGATTTCAATGGCTGCTAATGTCAGGTTATGTCCCGATCTTGTAGTCTTGCTGGCGACAGTGTCGCAGGCCAAAACCACCTCCGGCACCGATGCCGCCGCTAATAGGAATTTGCTGGCCGCAGACCTCTACAATGCCGTGGGTGCCGACAGGCTGAATGAGAACCTGGTCATATCCCCGGCCACCATCCAGAGCTCCATGGCTTTGGCCTTCGTGGGGGCCAAGGGTCAAACCGCCTCCGAGATCCAGCAGGGCCTGCGCTTGGGCCCCGGGGACGCGGATGCCGTGAGCCAGCGAAGTGGCAGCTTCCAGCAGTCTCTGACCCGCGACAACAATCTGCGTCTGGCCAACAACATCTACATCAACGAGAACCTGGAATTCAAGGGCTCCTTCCGCGACATTGCCCAGCGCCAGTTCGACTCCAACATCGACAAGCTTGACTTCCATCCGCCGTACAACAAGCGCACGGCGGATGCCATCAACCGGGCCGTGGCCACCAAGACGAACGGTAAGATAATGGACATCCTGCGTCCAGAGCTGCTCAATGACCGCACCGAGGGCGTGATCGTGAACGGAGTGGCCTACTCTGCCGCCTGGCAGAAGGCCTTCAGGCTGGACAAGACTGAGAAACGATCGTTCCGCACTGGAAATGGCCAGTCCGTCCGCGTGGACACCATGTGGACACTGCAGAACTTCAACTACGCCGAGGTGAGCTCCCTGGACGCCAAGGTGGTGGAGCTGCCCTACCAGAATGCCGACTTCTCCATGCTCCTGGTTCTGCCAAATCGCAAGGACGGTCTGAGGGCTCTCCAGCAGTCGCTGGTGGGCAAGGATCTTCTGGCGGAGGTCGGGGCGATGAGCCAGAAGAAGGTGGAGGTTTTGCTGCCCAAGTTTAGTGTCACTTTTGGCGTGAGCCTCGAGGGCGTTTTCAAACAGGTGAGTTAGTCAACAAGTATCTTTTGAAAATGATATAGTTTCCTATTTATTTTATGATTAGCTGGGAGTTCATACAATGTTCTCGAGGGACGGTGACTTCGGTAACATGTACCGGATGTTTGTCAGTCATTTCATCAATGCCGTGGAACATAAGGCCAGCGTGGAGGTTTCCGAGGCTGGAGTCGAACAACCCCTAGAAACAGGAGGTAAGTACCCAACCACTTGACCCTAATTATATGACACTAACTACCTTTTTAAAATACAGTTCTGAAGGGACTCTTTTCGCGGTCGAAGAAGTTCGAGGCTGATCATCCGTTTGTGTTTGCCATCAAGTACAAGGACTCAATTGTCTTCATCGGACATGTTGCGAACTATGCCTACGTTTAGGGCCGACTTTAAAGTGCTAATTACATCGCCGAACAACTTTTTTTATTAAAGCCATATAACCAAAGCTCTAAGCAAATAAAACTAATGGTGCTAACCGCATGGGAAGTAAATTTATGATCATATGGGACAAACTTTATAATCTGAATGTCTGAGAATCTGGAATGTCAACAAATTTTAACTCGATCTTATCTGGACTCACCTTTCTAGTTCCACGGGCATTGGTTTTTGGTTATCCATGTTCGAGTCGCGGAGGGCTTATATATCCTTGTTTCTAATCGGGTTTGACTTTTGTCTTACGCTCGATTGGCATTCATAGGTATTTCACTGGTGACACAAACAGGGAGGGGTGTTGCCTTTTGGCATTATTTTTAATTTATTCCTTTATTCGGGCGGTTTCTTAGCCGATCTCGCCGTGGTTGTTTCCTTTAATCGCGCACATAAATCAGCGAAACCAAACCAACTGACAACAATTTGAGCTTAGGCGTATTTATTATTTCTTGGCGCGCTGGCGATGGCGATGGCAATGGCAGAAAAAAAGCACACTTCGCAGGCAAACTGCCTGTCGATTTTTGCGGCAGCAGAGGAAACTGGTTCGCGGGCCGAATCAACTTTGGCTATGGTCAGGCCCGCCGATCTTTGGGGGCCTAATTGTGTTTATGCCCGTGTTTGGGGCTTGGGGACACTACCAGCCATGTGGCAGGGGTGGGGCGGTTTGCCATTTAAAATAATTGATGCACATTTTCGGGGCCCCCACACACAAGAGCACACACATGCACTGACACTAACTATTTAGGCAACTCCTGGACTTGGCGGCACGCAAGCCCCTTCTTTTCCGGGACTACCGTTTAACGATTCTCCCGATTTGATAAGGCCTGCAGGCCTGTTTCGAATAACTTCTTTCTCCCAGGTCCTTTTCGATCTTTTCGGGGGTATTTCAATCTATTTGCATTCTTTGTAAAATCTTCACTGGAGCACAGTTAAGCGCGGTAAGTGCACTATATCCCCTTTCGCGGAAAAGATGTTACGCATTTTGAAGAACTCGCGCAGCGGAACGGCAGCGAATCGAAACGCCGCAGAACGGATGGAGGAGCGTACGTCTGGTCCGACGGAAATTTCGAAAATTTGAAAAAAAAAATTCTGGTTGTTGGCGCTTTTATATCGGAGAGAGCCAAGACGAGTCTCCCAGAGAGTCTTCTGGTGCAGCAACAGCCAGTTAACAGCGAGATAGCGCTCGGCCCCCAAGCCCGAACTCCATACAGTCTCGAACTCCATGGCTCTCGTGTGCAGATCGGGTTCTCTATATCTCTCGCTGAGAAAATACTGGTAAGGTGAAATAATACTGGGAACAGTTGTGGCAATTGCAGTGATCCCCACGATCTTTGCCACAAAAAAAACTTCTTCTTCGGGCGTCCGAGGGTCCGCGTGTCCGGGTGTCCGTCCCTTGCTGTCCCGTCCCTTTGTTAGATCTGCTCGTTTGCTCCCTGACAAGTTTTCTTTGTTTCCCCGGCCAGTGAGCGGAATTTTAAAGAGCCTCGCCCGGAGGGAAGAGTTGCAGCAGGTGCAGCAGGCGCTTTTAAAACAAATGCCACAAGTACATCCACCTCCTGGGTTGGGGGAAACGAGTTTCCCCGACTGACAATTCATTTAGCTAATCCCAGATCCTAGAATCAGGTCCGATCTCTCTATCCTTTTCGAGTTAAGCATCTATGTTTTTGTAGAGTATATCATTGATATCGTACTTCCAACCTCAAGGTAGGGCATCAGACTGTCCATAACTAAAATTTCATTATATTTGGTAATTTTTTCCCCCAACTCTTTTGTTTTTGGGTCGCACGTTCTGGGTGTCGTTTCGGAGTTAAATATTGCAATTGTTTTCGACAATATTCGGCGTTTAATGTTTATTTTCAGCTTTCGAATTTAAATCGGTCCGAGGACTGGGCTCCAAGCACAAGCTTTAATTATGAAATATCGCCCTGTACTTAACTGGTTTTGTGTGACTTGCATATCTGATCCGAAATTGGATTCTCGGCTCAAATAATGGATTTGACACGCCTGTCAGTTCTAAAAAGCTTTTAGTCTAGGACTCAGTTTCGGTTCTGCATTTCTTCAAAGCTATCGACGATAATGAGACTCCACCTGGCTATATTCTTGGGTATAATTTGATCATTTCTTGCTAGTTTTTTCTCCAAAACTTAAGTGGCTTTCTTTCAATAGGTTTAACCCTCTTCCGGGCCACCTATGGGTCTGCGGCGTGCTCAACAAAGTGCAATGAGGCCTTTAAGGGGCATTTGGTGTGTGCTCACATCAATGCATGCTACCTTGAAATGGAATACTGCAGCATGATCGCCTTCAACTGTGTCCATATGGTGCAGCACAGGCCCTGTAAGAATATCCCCTAAATCTGCTAAGATCCTCATCCAACTCTTAACTTTCTTTCAGTTTTCTTGGTCGTGGGCGAGGGAAAGTGCCATGATGACCAAACACCAAAATGCGAGTCAATGGAATATTAGATTCTATTGTGTTTATTGATTGATGCAATGATTACATTTTCATGTACTTAGTTTAAATAAATGATTGGACGATGTGCTTATTATGAAGGTAATCCTAAAACTTGACAATGTGTCCAGCGAAGTAGACAGCGTGCGGATCGCGAATAATGAACACGAAAGGATGGTCGGCCACAAAGGTCTTGGGGTCCAGGGGCAGGGACATGGGTACTCCAGCGGCATCTGGGTGGAGATTCAAGAGGTAATAGGATACAAGACTTCTTGATAATTTTAAAAACTTACAACTGACACCGGCAGCTTCACATCCGATCTCGTTAACGTCGATGAAGGTCTTGTGTTGCACCTTGGTGATCCGAGTTCCGATGGGCGAGTCCTGGAAAATGTTACTGAAGTCGGCCGCATCCGAGAACATGGCGCTTATGCCCAGCTGTAGAAAGAAAGTAAGGGAGTTTATTTATGGAAATGGTTGGGAGATTAGAGATATCGCTGGGCTGTTTCATTAGGGAAATGTTTAAGAAGCTTAACCTTAGGGATCGTCAACTCATTTGCATAATACAAGCTAGTTAGGCCGATTTAAATATATTCTTATTCACCTTGTGGAGGGTGGGGCGGAGATCCGTGTCGAACTCAAACTTGAACTTGGGCAGGTAAACCGAGACACTCTGCCACTGCCAGCGGTCCTCCAGCACCTTGAAGTCGACTCCCTTGAGCTTCTGTTCGAGGGCCTGGAGGCCAGAGCGCTGATTGGGCAGGATGAACCACATGGTCAGGTTGATGTTCTCGAAGAACAGTTCGATGGCCTTGGCGTCCAGCTCCGGGTAGTCGGCATAGTAGTACCAGTTGTCAGCGAACATGGTGGGTACCTGGATGGACTCACGCTCGTTTAGATAGAACTCGCGGTCTCGGGTGTCCTCGTCGTTGAAGGGTCGTGCCCAGCGTGCCTTGAAGTAGATGGCGTTGACCAGAGCCACATTGGTGTCCGGTTCCAGGCTGTCCACCACCCGCTCGATCTTGTCCTGCGTCTGCTGTTTGACCCACCGATTGATGCGCTCCACGGCTTCAGTTTCGCGACTGAAGTCCAGGGACTCCACCTCAGAGTCAAAGTACTTGTTGGCCACTTCGCGGAAGTGCTCGGATACCTTCACATTCTCGCGGGTGTAGACCTTGTTGGCGATCTCCAGCACGGTCTTGGACTTGATGTACGAGTGCAGCAGGTTGTGGTAGCTCTCGGCCAGACCATCCTTGCTCTCCTTGGCGGAGGCGTGCAGCGTCTTCTGCAGCTCCGCCGCCGTCTTACCCTCGGCTCCGTAGTAGGCCAGGCCCAAAGCCAGTTGGATAGACACCGGCGAGATGATCACGTTCTCATCCTGACGATCGGTGGCTAGGGTCTGGAACAGTTCGGTGGCAAAGAGGTTGCGCTCCTTGATCGTGTTGCCATGCCCCACGGGGGCGGAGATCAGAGCTCCTAGAAACAGAACTTTTGAAAGAAAAGGTTAGAGCTTCTTCAGGAATTAGAAGCGCGGGTGGGATGCTCACTATTTAGCCAGCGGTTCATTGCGCCTGCGTCGACACCTCGAGACTAAAAGTGAAATGGCCCTGCCACCTGTCATTTATAGCCGCCAGCCAGTCAGGAGTCGCGGCACAGCCAGCCTAAGAATGACGCCAACCGAGGCAGAGACGGAGCCAGAGCCGTAACTGCGGCAGAGGCAGAGCCTGGTGTGGCTTGAATTTCAAACAGCTTAAAAGAAAATCTGTTGAAACGAGGAGACTATATAGGAACTTAAAGTACCCTTGATATAATGTTAGTATATTCCACTTTTCGGGAAAACTTTACCCACTTTTTAATGACTGATAGATCATATTTTGTAATACTATTTAATAAGATTTATTTCCTGGTATACCCTAAACTCAGAATCCCTCAATGACCCCTTCTACAGGGTATCCAGAAAAGAAAGAAAGAGGCTGAGTAGAAGGTAAGATTGGTTCTGGGCCGATCACCTGGAAATACTGGGAAGAGTTGAATCTCTCCAGCTCTGGGACCTTTGTGAACTCTCCCTCTGGCTTCTCCCGAATCTCTCTCTTTCTCTGGGCCTGTTCCCGTCTCTTTCTGTGCACTCCGCACTTGAGTTTGGATACGAGGCAGCCTTTTGTTGGGGCTGCTCTCACCTTCTGCACTTGTTGCCCACCTCTCGCCTCGAGTGCCTTGGGATTTACTCTGCTGTCAAATTATTTACATGCATGCTTGGACCCCAAGATTATAAGGAGGATAGGAGGGAAATCGGACTTGCTTTAACTCTAATTTCTCGTTTACGCACACGAAATATATGCTCATGTTTTATGGACTTTGCATTTAATGAGTTATTTTCGTATTTGTTTAGATAATGCGTCCATAAACAAAAGTCGGCGGGGTGAACAAACAGCAAACAGCATACAGCATACAGCATTGCGCATAGATTGTTTATTGGGATTGGAGTTACCGTCCCCCCACTCCGTGTTCCAATTAACGGCAGCACGCACACAGCCAGCTTATGGAAATCAAAAATCGAAAATCGATTCGAGATCTCAGCGGTGGGTTCAGGTGGAGTCGCCTCACCCAAGAAGCCAATTTTTAATCATTAAAGACCCACAAGAAAAAAGAATCTGGAACGGACCCGAAGACGGTTCTGGGTCTGAGCTCCTGCTCCTTCAAAAGTCCCGAAATTTGGCGAGGTTATTTATGCACATTTTGTGTGAAACGCTAATAAATTTTAATGGAATTTTAAAAACATGCTTTATGTACCCGAGCTTGTATGTTGTTACCAACAAAAAAAAAGGAAAAGAAGGTAAAGATTGCAATAAGGAAGTTGCCTTCTTGGGCTGCTTGGGGTGTCATAAATTGGCAGCTTCTGTTGGCTTGACTGATGGGCCCCTTCAGTCCCGCCGATTTTGCATAATTACGATATAGATATAAGTCGGAGAATTGAGGAGCTGAAACGAGCATTACAAGGCAAAAAAAAACCAAGAAAGAAACGAAACACTTCAAACACTTTCAATCGATGGCTGGGGGACTGGGAGCCAGGCTCCCGCCTGCCTTAAAAGCACAAAACCAGATTCAGCTTAACCTTATATAATTTACAACCACATAGGGGTTGCGGAGTGTGCGAGTGTGTGTGTGTGAGTGTCCTGTCTCCTGGCAACGACCGAAGAAGCGACGCTGACCGTTCTGATTGAATGATTTCACTGATCGAGACAAAACATGTTAAAGATCGTGAGATGCCCGACCGCAAAGCGCTCTTGTCTCTCCAGATATATACACAGCAGCCAGGCCAGGGCACTGAAAAAAATTTCAAGTTTCTAGTAAATTAAAGACATTTATAAGGCAGAGTTGGATGCTGGTTACTTTCTGTCAGTGTAGCCATCATGCAACAGCAGCAAAATGCTGCGGCAGTCCGCAATGTTGATAAAAATAAACTTGGCAAAAAGCGTCTTCCTCCTTAGAGCCCGATTCTCGGACTTGGCTCGGAACTTGGCTTGAAGAATGATGAGGCAGCAACACGAATTATGTGATCGCTGCTGCATCTCGGCTTGGCAGCAGCTCTTGGGCTTTCTGTGTGCGTGCTGGTAACCCAAAACCAGTTGATGATAGAGCAAAAATTCGCAGCGCCCAGATCGCAACAAAAAAACTCCCCAAACACCACCACCAACCAAACCCCAAAAAAAAAAAAATAAATAACAATTTAAACGGAGAAGAACAAAACACAATGGCACCAATCGCTCTCAAGCTTTTGTTTTGCACATTGCTGCTACTTTTTTATAAACAATAAATTTGCACATAACTAAAACAGAATGCCCTGGCATTTGCATAGTATCGGGTCGTAATCCCCCGGGGGATTTGCTTAGCTGGTGCGTGTCAGTCCGATGATGGGGAACAATTGATGGTTGGGAGTGGACTCGATGGATATTCAGCTCTGATCGGAGATTGTGAGGGAGTCCAAAGACCAAGACTCTTGTCTAGCTTTTGTCTCAAGGAAGATGCTTTAGAGTTAAATCTTTAGATATATTTATATAGGATATGAGTTTAATTGTCAAGAAAACCATCTCTGAAAATTATAAAAAATATATTATGACACCTCTTGCATCATAATTTCAGTTACTTGAAAGTCAAAGGCCTTAACAACTTTCTCCTATGCCATATTTCCCTGGCGACAGATAAATATAAAAAGTATATATACTTTAAATGGCAATAAATTCTTATAATACGAATGATTTTCCCATGGCAATGGTGCGACTTGGTCTTCCGAGTGGCTGTCATCTCCCAAGCGGTTTGGTGACCACTCAGTTGTCGCTGCTCAGCTCGGAGACTGCCACTAGCCACCAGGCACCCCTTTTTGGCGACAACTTTTCTACAAGTGAGGTAATTAGCTAAATGCCGCAGCCCAATCTAATCGCCGTCTCTAGCTGGGTAATTTAGTGAAAACGGCGAGGCGTTGCTCAGATCGGTTTAACTTTCATTCAATTGCAGCAGCATCCATGCGTTGCACGTTCGTACTACATACGTACATACACGTATTCAAATGTACATATGGCATACTAGCCGCACTTCAAGTCTGGAGATTTCGAGATCGACATGCTGGCGACAGCGGTGCTGTTGTGGTCCACTTGACCAGGCGACAGACCCCGAAACAACAACAGCCGACAACAAGGCACAGAGAATAAAATTCAGAAAGAAAAATGCTCTACATTCGGAAGTGCTAACCATTAAAAAAGCGTAAGACTTCGGAGAATATTAATATCCGGTACTTACTGGAGAAAGTGTAGCAAGATTGGCAAAAAGTGGACGTTACTCATGATTTGGAGAAGGACCTGCTTTAAAATATAGCTTTCCATCCACTACCATTAAAAGTTTATAATTTTTTCCTTGTGCAGGAATAACACTAGCAACACGGATGACACGTCAATCTCGAGCTGCCCACTTGGTGCAACATGCAACAGGGAACTGGATTTGCCAATACGAGCTGTGTTGCAGCCGCGACAAATTAAGCTGCAACGACCAGAACGACTTGTTGTACTTCTCATTAATTAGCACTAAAATAGGCAGATTCAAGATGGGAGGAGTGCCGGGCACTATGCAAGGGGGGGCTGGGACAGACCCTTGCCTTTCGTTTTCTACGAAATCACGGACATCTATCAGCAGCAACATGCCACACGATGTTGTAGACTGTCCGTTAAGGCATCTGACAGCCGCCTAAGCAGTCAATTGATATGCCTAAAGTGGGCATAACCGACATCCAACAAGGGCAACACCGATCCCAAGATCCAGCGATCCAACTAAATCGAATTCAATTGAAGATGCTACCGAAGATGATGAAGAACGCTCTTGATATGATAGACAACATATCAATTTTGATGGCCTGTACTGCCTACTTTTACAAATACACTTGAATAATATTCTAAAATTATGAATTATACAGATATTAGATGTTTAGAAAGTTCAGAAAATCTTAAAGAGACCCGAAGGAATTATTAATACTGGTTATAGTAGGACTTCTCATATCTTTTCTGAAAGTCTACTCTACAAATAATTCTCTGTGCACTGAACTCCTAATATTATATTTGACCAACCTTCGACGTTCATTTGTCTATCGGAAAGAAGAAATGTGTTCATCATAAAATGTCAATTAGTTGATTGAAATCAGCGCTTGCGATCCGCAATTATTTCAATTTATGGCCAACAGGAAATTGCGGCAACTGCCACAGAGCAGAACAAATGACATGATCAAGATGCCATTGAGGATCGAGTCGGGGATTTGGATGTGAATGTGGCTGGGGATGCGGTTTGGGCTGCACCTTCTATTCCTCCATCTATTCCGATGGCGCTCGGGCGGCTTTAGTGGCGTACTTTATGTAACGATCGCCATTGAGGCAGCAACAGCAGGAGCAGCAGCAGCAGCAGCAGCACTATCAGCAAATGTTGCAACTTTGCAATGCAAATTCTACCGCGAAGATGCATTTGGAATGAAAATGTTTGTGCAAAGCACCCGCTCAGCGGGAATAGCCACGAGGATGACGACGATCCAGCCCAGGCCACTCCATTTTGCAAGCCAGCTCTCCAGCTAGCCAGACCTTTCCTCCTTCCTTTCTTTTTGATGCAAGTTTTTTTTGGGTTTATTTTTCTTTCGCGTATGCTAATTTGTTTGTCAAAATGACACATCGATCAGGTGAAGGGCAGGGAACATGGCCGGAAAACGGGAAACAGAATCAGATAGGCGGGTCGGGACCCTTTTGTTTTAGGTTTCAGCCTGAAGGTATGCTTGCTTTTTCGCAAATTTGGTTTCTATTTCTTGATGAAAGGCGCATTGCAGTTAGAAAATGATAAAAAATTAAGGCTTTGAGGGCTTTATACACTTATTGACTTTATAGACGTAAAAAATATAATTTATACAATAGTTTATTTAACCTCTCTTATGGCAATTTGTCCTGTTTTTTGTCTGTTATCCCATATCCGAATATTTATGGCCATCAATGGCATGCACCGAGTTAAATGTGCCTACTGGGTATAATCAATGGGACTAAAAGGTGGGTTATCTGTTCCCGTTCTTCAGTATTATATTCAGAAGATTATTCACTCATTAATATGGTATTTGATAGATATAAAGTACTAAAA